TTTTATATTGAAATAAACTATGCAGTAAAATACATAAAAGCTCAATTTATTCTTTAATAATTGATTACAGAGTAAAGCAGTTTAAGAAGTAGAATACTGTCAACACTTCTGAAGATCCCTGTAGTCCCTTCCCAATCATGATGCCCCATTTCTCCTCAGATATATCACTATCCTGGCTTTCACAGTAATCACTTCATTGGCATTATTCATATTTTTCCAGCTATGTAGCACCCTAAAAATAGACTTTAGTTTTGTCTGTTATTGAACTTTACACGGAATGGAATCATATCAAAGGATACCAAATATACTTTGTTTTCTTAGTAAACCTTATGTATTTATGAGTCATGCACATGAACCTACGTAGCATAAAACATTCATTTTTCATTACTGTATAGTGTTCCACTACATAAATAGACCCTATGCATTTTAATGTCTAATTATAATTCTAGTATGAGACACCCTATCAGTGTGCATTTGAGTTGTTTGACTATTATACACACTGATCCTAGGACAATTTTAATATGTGATTTTGAATACATGTGCACAAATTTGATTAAGGTATATATCTAGAAGTGGAATTGCTGAGTATGCATATTTTTATCAGGTAAAGCCAAAATGGTTTCCAAAGGAGTTGTGCCTAGTCAAAGATTTTATTAAAAATTCAATAGTTTTAACATTCTGGATTATCCAAAAATAATACTTTTTCATAGCTGGAAAATTCCCACACATGCCAATATTAGTATACATATACTAATTTAAAATTCAAAAGGAGCATGATTTTCTAAAGGTCTAAAGAAAGTATATGTTCCATAAGTAAAATTTAAAGCTGCTTGGCAATAAATGTTAAAAAAGTATGTTGGGTTAAAAATTATCTAAAATATTTTACATGAGTTTTCAAATAAATGAAATATATAAAAGGACATTATTTATTATACTTCCAATTAAGCAAAGACTAACACCATAATAATGATATTACTGATTATTATTGTGTATTTAATTTTAAAGGCAGGGGAGGTGAACACTATAATGCTTTAATATTCTTCTCCAACTGTAAATGATAAATTTCTTGTAATTTCATCAATAGGTAAAACAGCATCTACTGTGATAAACACTTAATTCTTCCACTGCTTAAACTATGACAAGTTACAAAGTTATTATCAAAGCATCTGGAAATTTCCAAGCACCAGGAGAAGCTAATAATTTCTTAAAACTACTTAGACATGAAAAAACAAAAATTCTAAACTTTTGTTTTTGAACATACTTTCATTTTTGGTCTTCCATTTCTCTGAGGCAGTGAGTATGAAATGTAAATGCCCACAGGTGAGGAAAAGGCAGCATCCCAGAAAGAAGCAGGTTCTTACAGTGATTAATATGGAGCCACCAAAGGATGTCTGGCAGCATAAAGAAGCCATAGCTTATGTAACTGATAAAAAATTAGTCAGTAAGACCTTACTAACATATCTCCTTGGAACCTGAGATAGTGTATTTGATGAATTATTTAAGCTAGACTGTATTCTTCTACCTGCTTAAACCATGGAGGCAAAAATATGGAAGAAAAAGTTACAGTGAACTTTTATACAAATTGGTACATGGGATGAGTTAATCGGTTAATGAAATATGCTGATTAACAGAAATATCGTACATACTGTCAATTCAAAATTACAATATAATATGTTTTTCATTAACAGTATGCTGAATATCAGTTCATCTTTCCTCAAGGATTCTGAAGGCATTTCTGTATTTCCAGTTATTTTATAAGCCATGGGAACAACTGCACAACCCTATTAATGTAGAAAGTCTAAGAGCCTGGACTGAATTTCTATCCATCCTGTGACAGACTCTGGAAGCAATTTTGCTGAATAAGTTTACAACCACCGACTTGTCGAGTGTCCTTTATAATAGAAGAGATAATGCAAAAAATAATTCTGCGTATTTTGAGTTTTCTGGTTATTTCATTCACTCTCTTTTTTTTTCAGGAGGAGGTGTTTCCAAATAAATATGGTCTTACAATTAACTAAACCTCTGTTAAATCTCAGAACATATTTCTCAGAGAGATATTCTTCTCACTGAATTTTTTTTTTAATTTTTTTATTGTTAGTTTCAGGTGTACAGAACAATGCAATAGTTACCCTTTTCACCCTCACAAAGTAACAACCCCCCTCCCCCCATCCA